TCTGCGACGCAAGAGTAGTGTTTTCTGCAACGGTGCCCCGCCTCGCTGGTAGATCGATATTGTACCATGTTGTCTGGATGAGAGTTTTTTGCGACAGTTGCAAATAAGTAAACTTGACGTCGAGCAAAGGAGTTAAAGCAGAACTACATGGAGCAGGGGTCAGTGTTTTCTGCGACGCAGGTTTTTTTGACGACGCGAGTCGATGTTTTCTGCGACAGCCCCCCGCTTCGCCGGTATACAGATTGTTTCACGTTGTCCGTATGAGCTCTTGCGAAAGTTGCAAAGAAGTGTTGTTGACGTGAGCAAAGTTAGATGGAACAGGGATGAGTGTTCGCTGCGACACCATTTTTTTGCGACGCGGATTGGTGTGTTACGCGCCGGTGCCTGGATGAGCGTTGTTTGCAGGAACCGCACATAAGTGTGCGTTTAAGGCGGTTAGGGGGCACAAATCAGGGTCATTGCAGCGGGGACGAGTAGTCTCTGCGACGCAAGTGTATTCTGCGATGCAGATCGCTGTGTTCTGCGACGACGTCCCGCCTCGTCGGTAGACAGAGTGTTTCGCGACAGTGTATGGGTGAGCGTTCTGTGCGGGATTTTTTTTATGTTTAGCAAAAGAGTGAAAGCAAAGCGAAGTGCAACACGGACAAGTGTTTGCTGGGACGCAGAGGTTTTCTGCGACGCGGACGGCGCTTTCTGCAACGGCGCCTTGCCGCGGTTGACACAGTGTGTTGCCGCGGGGCGGAGATGAATGAATTTGGCAGGAATTGAAAATATGAGCTTTTACGTTTTGCGAGGAACGAAAGCAAACGTAATAGCAGCAGGGTAAGACACGTTCACTGCGAGACTTAGTGGCATTCGGTTTGGGAAGACGTTGCTACAGCTGCAAAAAATGCGCATGGTTCGCGGGTACTGAGCCTCCTCTGCCAGGCCACGACAAGGCGGGCGTAAGCCAAAGAAAAAGCGCGGGTTTACGGCGGCGCGCCCCGCCGAGACGATGAAGCGACCTAGCCAGGTGCTGTTGGAGTGAAACCAGAAATTCGTACAGAATGCACACGCAGCAAGACCGCGGCAAACAGCAGCCAGGCTGTTTCGGCCAAGAGTAGTGTCACTGTCACTGCAGCTGACTCATGAGACTCGTACATATGCGCTGCCTGGCGCATTCGCCATTGCCTGTAGTGAAATGGTGGCCACCCACTTATACAAATTTCGCTAACGCATCAGACTCGTGCAAGGCTTTGTGATGCCTGGCGTGTCAGCTATCGCCTGTAATGAAATTTCGGACGACCAACTTCTACCGAGTTCGCCTTTGCTTTCTCGGTGGCTCTGACATGGCTGGCTTCGGCTTACGACCACCGCGCTTGCGTGTCAACGGCACCTCTCCAAGCATGAGACGAGGAAGAGGCATGTGCTGCAGAGTCAAGCTGCGCAGAAAGCTGGTGCGCTCACACTGCGCATGCAGGCCATGCGCAGGGCAAGAGCAGCTGAGCAGGGCAGGGCGTGCGTGGATGTAGACCGTTTTTTCAAAATGAAGCTGTAGCGACTGCAGCATCACGTCTCCTTCAGGCCAGTGAAGGTGCGCGAAGTCAGTGCAGTGGACCCGGCCAAAGAACGCAAGACTGCGCGAGCGACCGTGGCGTTGAGAGGCGAGCTCGCAGCGGTGCGCAAGTGCAGCATGCAACACGCTGGCAGCAAACCTCTTCCGTTGTGGTCCATCACTACCATCATAGGGAGGCGGCGTTTCTCACGCTAGCAAGATTGCCAGGGGTTAAAGTTCTAGGGGAAGGCTGCGCCAGTGCCATGTGAGATGGTTAGAGGGATGCGACTGACAAGAGGAGAGCCGCGCCCTTGCTACATGAAAGAAGAGACGGTGCGACACACGATCGGTCCTACAAGACAATTCACACAACGTGTTTGCAGCATTGTTGCGGCTGTGTGCAGTCTTGCCTTGGGCGGGGGGGCCGGCTGCTAATGGCTGTTTGTAGCTGACAGACTGCACATCGAGCGAAAACATGCGCGGGAATGATCACGGGGCTGTGATCGGTTTTCCCGAAATGTTTGGCGGCGCCCGGGGCGCAACACAGCTCTCGTTCGCTGTTGTTCGGGGCGCGACAACCCCCCCGCTTGGTTGATCGCTCTCATTTGCTGTTGTCTATGATGGGGGGGGCTGCGCCTCCCAGGCCCCCCCGCCTGTTTTTGACGCTCACGACACACAGACCACAACTCGCACCTTGCTGTGAGCAGGTTCGCTGGGCTGTTTCCCGAAGTCTTTGGGGGGGGGGGCTGCGCCCCCCAACCCCCCCGCCTGTGTTTGGCGCTCGGGTGCGACACACAGACCACAATTCGTACCTTGCTGTTTGCAGGTTCGCTGGGCTGCGTACCGCAGCGACGAGATCAACCGCCAACTTCTTGCCGAGTGGTTTGGAAATGAGGACTGCGAGCTTGAGCTTTTTTTCTGATGTAGGGTGCTAGGGAGACTAGTCCTTAGATTGTAGGGGGAGGGGCTAGTTGAAAGGCATGGCTTTGATTTTTCGTTAAGAGAAACCGATGCTGTCAGAGATCGTCCCCGATGTGCTGGCTCGCGTCTCAACACGCGGCTCGACAGGAGACCCTTGTTCCTCCTGTAGCACTGGGCTGCGTTGTCGCTGTTCCTGTGGGCGACGCCGGACCTGGCACTGCGATGCAGACTGGCCCTGGTGATGCGACACTCAGCACGCAAGACAAGACGCAGAGGTTAGCCGCGACTTGTCGGAGACGTGCGTGCTGGCGCTGGAGCCGCACGCAGGTGCAAGACTTCAACTCACAGGGCAGGGAAGCTTCGATGATGATGGTCGGCATGTTGCAGAAGCTGGAAGAGCTGGAGTCCCCTCTTGATGCGCCTTCCACGCAACTCGGATTGAGAAGTGTGGCAAGACGATCGGCAGTAAGCTGTTGCTTCCAATGTTGCATTGGGGTTTTGACAGGCAGCACGGCGCTTCACATCACGCAGAGCGTGCGAAGTCTGAGTTTCGACCTGCAGCCAGCCAGCACAGTCAAAACAAGATCGCGCAGTTGCCGCATGCTATGCTTGCCACCTCGCGTGCATTGCAACTGCAACAAACACAGCCGTGGCACAAAACACACAGACAAAGACTCAAAGTCTGCTTAGCAGCTTGGGCAGCGCGTGGGAATGGTGGCAAGCAAGGCACAGACAACCGTTGCAAAAAACACTGCAGCCACCGTCGCAAAAAAAACACAGGCAACTGTCGCAACGAACACAACCGTTGCAAAAAACACCGGGCAGACGACCGTTGCAAAAAACACCGCAGCCCCCGTCGCAAAAAGCACGCAGACAACCGTTGCAAAAAAACACCGCCGTTTCAAAAAACACGCAGACAACCGTTGCGAAAAACACCGCCGCTGCAGAAAACACCGATTTCCGCCTGGAATGACACTACCGTCTGGACAAACACCGTTGACTGTCGCTATTAACACTAGTCCCGCTCTGGGCCGAGGCTGAGAAGCATTTATTCGAGAAGAGGTCCTTCACAACTGCGGGGCCAGGGGTCCCTGGAGTTCCCCTTCAAAAGTCGATCAATACACTTTTGTTTCTTTCGAAACGATCGCCACTTTGGGAGGTAACCCAAAAAAGTTGGCAATGGCTCGGAAACCCGTAAGGTCGGCCCCAGAATCGACCTGTTCCCTCCAAGTGGTCTGAACCCCTACTAAAAGGGGACCTTCCCTTGGCTTCCCTTTAAAACCTTTAAACCCACCAAACCAAGGGGACCCCGAATTTCCCTCAAGAAAGACTGACGCCCAACTGGTGAAAGGGAGAACTTGCCTTCGGTTATGGAATGACCGCTAGAAGAGCCACCCATCCAATTTGGTTTCCTTTCAGCTCCCCAGGTTCATTCAACCTTCCCTACCTATCGCACCAGCCGGGAAAAAAAAGATGGCCCACATCGAAGGCATCTCTCCTCCCACTTCCATTTGCTTAAGACCCCTGGAAAAAACAAAAAACAGTAGTGATCAGTTCCTTTTAAAACCAACCAGGGTTGTAATACTCACCTTAAGATTAGCTTCCAGTAGTTACCCCTTAAAACTCCAAGCCCTGGGGAAGTTAATCTTTTACAGACATATAGCCCATGTTACCCAAAAAGTTGAGAAAAGTTGTGTTTTTAAGAGGTAAGAGTAGTTAAGAACAAAATGAGCACACGGAAGCTCGCCTTCGAACTTCGGGCGCCTCGGCATCGGAGCGCAGCTGCTGGATCTGGGCGTTGAGCTGTTGGACCTGCGCCTGGTGGCTCTCCGCGCGCGACCTCCGGGAAGCGCGGCCGGAGCGATGCGCCGATGCGCGCCCGGGGAAATCCATGCTATAAACCAAGAATAAGCTCAGGTGATATCCCCAACAGCATGCGGTGCTGTTTTTCAGTGCTCGCACCACCCCGGAGAAAAATCCAGAATCCAGAACCAACTTCTGCATAAAAACATAACAATGATTGGGGGAAGGCGGGAAGGGTCGAATGGGGGGTGGGTGCGGGGTAGAAATTTGAAGCGGATGAAGGGGAACAGACGGGGGCGGCGACCACCTTTTGTTGGTGACCCCCCCAAAAAAAACACCTCAGTTTAAGTCCGTTTTGGGGATTGAGGTTGCTTGTCAATGATCAGCTTCCCTCCAATTGGTGGTTTGGATTGGTGGAAGTGTTCCGGTCGCGTTTACCCACTACAAGAAGCAGGCCTGCCAATTTGAGTCCCCACCCCCCTCCCAAAACCCCATCCCCCACTTCCCCGCTGACCGAATCAATCCCCTGCCTCTCGGACAAGTGTAGCTCCTGACGCACCCCAACTGCGGAAGCACAGGCCACGCGTTTCCTAACACGGACTCGGATTTCCATGGCTCCAAAATGAGGGAGCCACCTAAATGCGAGCACTGAGGGACCCGCCAGAAGGAGGGCTGCTGCGATCTCGATTGCTTCTCAGTATTCAAAAACTGTCCAGCTCAATCACTACTTTGCTAGAATGCCTCTTTGCGCGCGCTGACATTCTGGAAGCAGCTTTGCAGCGGCCAGCTTTGGCCTTTCCTGTAGTGCTATACATTGTCCACGCACCCATCCACAATCTAGTAAACGCGTGCCTGCAAAACGGCTGGTCTCGGTGGCTATGCAAAACCGAGAACAGAATCAAAAGACTCCCGCCGGTGCACTGCAGCACTCGGCGGCTATAGCCGGAATCTCCGGGAGCTGGCTCACTCGTCCAGCTGGGTACTAATTCACATGGGCCTACCTACGCAGCCAAAGCAAAGCTGGCCGTCACTTTACAGCTCGCTTTCCTCGGTTTCCAGGGAGGCGGCTTTCTTGGTCTTTGTCTTGGACTGCAGAAAGCTCGGACCCAAAAACTTGTGGCGACGGCTGTTGGACTTCTGTGGCGCGGCTTGGGCAAGGGCCGTCTCTGCGGGCTTGCACTGCGAGTACCACTCATTGCCCACCACGCAGCGGTAGCCCTCCGTGCAGCAGGTCGGGCCAGCATGGTTGCGCCCTCCGCACTGCTGCCAGGCCCCTGCGCAGGACGCTGGCGGTGTGGAGGTCACCGGCGCCGTCTGCGACGTTGTGGCGGTGGTCGTACTTGGCACCGCCGTCGTGCTCGAAGTGGTGGTTGAAGCCACGGTGGTTGGGGGTAGCGACGTCATTGGAGTCCCAGGATACACAGACTGCGTGGAGCCAATCTCGCCCACAGCCGCGTTTGCAAAGGTCACATAGCCCTGCGGGTGCTTGCTGCGCACATTCTGGGGGGAGCTCTCCTCACCACCCGGGCACATCCCGCGGTGAACGCCTGGGCCGCTACATGGCCTGTCTTCGGGGTAGCAGGAATCCAGCCACATCATGTGGACGTCGATGTCGTCCCACAGGGAGAAAGCCGCAACGTGGCCACGCTCCAAGGACTCGCCCATGGCCTTGTTTCCGCCTTTCTCCTCGAAGTCGTTCTCGTTCTCGAAGAGGTCCTTCATGTCCGAGCACATCTCGTCCGTGATGGAGTCCGGCGTTTTCGGGAGAGTCATGATGGACGGGCTTGAAATTGCGCGGCCATCCTGGACATAGAAGCGCCGGATTTCAGACAAATCGCCATCATCGGTTCCGTCCGAAGTAAGGAACTGGGTGACAACTGTCATGGGCCTGGCAGAATCCACGGCAAAACTAGCCCCCTTACCATAGAATGTGGCGTTGCCGTTGCGGAAGGGGTTGATGTCGCATCCGTCCTTGTCACACAGCCCGTCATACCGCTCCCCACTGTCGTTGTCGCCACACTCAGTGCCTTCGCACGTGTACTGGCCCGGGGTGTCAATGTTGCAAGGGTGTGGCGTATAGGCCGTTGCCATGTTGTTCGCTTCCCAAATGTCCATCTCAGCACAGCAGGCACCATAGTGTCCAAGCCCCATGGAATTGCTGAAATCCTTGGGATGAGGTTTCCAATCCTTGGAGTTCGCTTTGCCACCGATGAACTTGACGTCGTGGGGGCACTGTGCGTCGCAATATCCAGTGCCATACTTGGCGCCTGCAGCATTGTAGCCACGGCCCTTGCCACCGTCAGCTGCCATCTCGATAAAGTACATGGCCCCGTTCATGCCGCACTCCACCGTTGAGGAGTCTACATCAACAGCGAATTCTCGGTTCTTGAGCTTGAAGAGCTTGTAAGTCTCATCATCTTCCAGCAAAAACACCCGAGAACCAACATTGGAGCCGGTCACAAAGTTCAGGCGAACGCCGCCGGGAACAGCCGTGATGCCGTAGATGCTCTCGTACTGCCCGGCATCCACTGCCTCCAGAGCACAGCCCTGGGCACAGGTGTCCGGATCGGTACAGATGCTGCTGTCCCACTTATTGCCCGTGTAGCAGTTCTTGGAACCCTCCGTCGTGTGGATCCACCGCCAATTGGCGTCCAGGACCAACTTGTGCTCCTTGGTCGTGCAGCCGCCCGCTTTGGTGCACTCCTTCACGGCCATGGTAGGATTGCCTTCCGACTTCAAGGTGCCCGGCTGCTGCGCACCGCAGAGCGGGAGCAGAAGAAGCAAGACGCACAAAGCCATGGGTAGTTGGATCGATCTGAGGCCCTCGAGTTTCAAATGGCTGGGATGCAGGATGAACCAACACAAAACATCACAAGTGCCTAACAACGACGCAAGTGCCAGTCAATAACACAACCACTACAACAGCTGCAAAGCAAGCTCCTCGCAAGCTTCATGCCCGCCCCGCAACCTCTCCCTGGAGCCCGCCTTGTTCTCTTGCCGCATCTGCTCCAAGGCAATGTTGCGGTCCTCCAGCGGTTGCGGCTGAACTGGCATGGGCTTCGGGTCAGGTCTGGGTCTTTGAACCAAAAAAGTTCAGATAAACGCAGGCGAAACAGGTGAGGAGGTAAGGTGGATTCCCAAAGCACTGGACGTTCTTCCCCAAATCATGGTATATTCTGAATTCTGAACCTTCTTCCCCAAAACCTAAGGTTGGGGGCCCTGTTCTCTATCTGAAATGGATACCCATTCGTTTGGGCTTCCACGTTCAAAGCCAAAGCGTTTCCTGGGATCTGCGCAATGTGTGTATATCCGACTGAATGGGAATCCTTCAGGGACCTTGGTCATGTTTCTTGAGGGTGCCCTTTCTCACGTTAATTTGAAGGGAACCCCTCTGAGACAAGGCATGTTTATATATTTTTGGGGCGCCCCGATTTTGACGCCTATGTCAAAGAAAAAACCCTCAAACTCTCAAAGTGGTGGTTTTCCTTTTAAAGCTCCCTTTAAACAAACCAACAAACGAAAACGGAAACCTCCTGGATCGCCAGTCGCTGTTTTTGTTTTTCCCCCCATGCACTTTACCCCAACAACCAGCAACAGTGACTGAACGAAGTCAGAAACTTGGCTATCTAGGCCTCAATAAAAAAAAGGGGGCATGACTGATCTGGCTGTGGGTCAAAACCAATGGTACCATTTTGGGGTAGGCGCGCCACCAATTTTAGTCTATTTTAGTGGGGATTGGATGTTCACTGGGGGTTCATGGGGTTTGACCCATGGCCATCTGGGCTCTTCGGCACTCCATCGGTGCCACGCATCCCTTCCGACGCCTTCATCTCCTGCAGCAGCTCGCTACACACCTGGGTCCCGGTGACTTCCCAAGGCGTGCGCCCTCACGCGCACGCCGCCCAGTGGATTTCCATTGAGAAAAAAAGAGACTCGGCATCCTCTTTTTGGTTGGTTGACTTAAAGCGAAAAAGGAACCCTTCCCGAAAAACAGTTGAAAAAAGGAAGCAACCCACTGATTGCAACTGGGTGAATCCCCCACCTGCCGCGGAAAATCTTCGAAAGAGAAACCATTAAACGCCCGGCCCGGCCGGGACAACCCAAAAACGCTGGCTCAGCCAAATGTCTTTGGAACTGGTGTCAAAACTTGGTGGGGAAAAACATTGGGCTCGTCCGGGGGAGATCAAAGGCAGAAGCTGGACTCCGATGCTTGTTTCTTGAACCTACCACTGACCGGAGGGTGACTTTGGGTAAAACACGAGCGCCCACCACATGAGGGGCCCAGAGCCTTGTCGCAGCGGATCAGCTGGCTCTTGGCCTGCGCCCCAAACACACCCTCCGAAACCCCAACCAAACCAGCAGTGAGGCTCGTCTTTTTCGAGGGTGTCCCCTTTTTTTGCGAGTGAAAGTGGGAAGCCAAGAGAACAACCGAAATCCATTCTGTTTGTCCGCCTCCTAAAGAAAAGAGCTACCCGGATCGCACAGTGGCGTGGCGATCGTTTCTTCCCATGCACTTTACCCCAGAACCCGGCAGTGACTGAACAAAGGCAGCAACTTGGCGACCTAGAATGTCCGTCTTTCTCAAGGGGGGGGAATTTTTCGGGGGGAGGGACCCTTTCAGGGTGAGCAGCCCGAAAATGGCAGGAAGAAGCTGCGGGTGTCATTTGATGGGTGCGGTATTCTTGGGAGCTAACCGCGTTTTGGGGGCTGACCCCTGGTCCGCTGTTTTGGGGTTTTGGGTGTCACGGGCATCCCTGGGGCGAGTCGCTTTGGACGCTACCTGCAGGGTTTCCTCAAAAAGAAAGGCCAAGGAAACAGAATATGGGTGTGACTCAAAAACCTAATACCATTTTTTGGGCCACCTTTTGCTTGGTCCATTTTGAATGGGTGGTACCGGGGCGGGGAGTACCAGGGTCTTAGCCCACAGCCATATTTCCAAGTATAAACTGCCCTAAACAGCTGGTGCCCTCGAAGAGCACAACAACCAACGGCGAGTTTTCTTGTGCAGGCGCTCTGGCGACGATTCGAGCAACGAGGCCGGGGCCCATCCGAAAAGCCCCCAAAGCTTGTACGCACTTTTGAGAGTTGCCACGTTGCAGCTTGCCGCGCCCTGACAACCAAACACCCGGAGGACTCAGCAGAGGCTTCGGAGTTGCTATCTAGCAGCTTGCCAAACCCTTGATGAAACCCCTGAAGGAGAACCAGCAAATTACCCCTTTACGTGGATGTTCAACCGACTTAGCAAAACTTTCAACCGTGGTTCTAACTTGGGTAAGGGGGGGGAGGGTCGCCTCATATTTCGGTTGCTTTCTGCTCCCTGCTCAAATTTTAACTTTTAGGGGTTTAATGGAAAACCCATTAGTTGGCAAAAACTTAAAGTCCTAACATCCAAGCAAATTGCACCAAAGATACATGGCTATAATTTCTACTTACTGGGTGGATCGGCGGCCCGACCTCACCAAGTAAGACCCCAATGGCCTTCTTAAGGGCTCATCCCCATGGTTTTACCAAGTGGGTGGAACACCCTAAATGGGATTTGGAACCACTAAATAGACACTATGAACATGGTCCATGTTCGATGCTCCCTTGGGTGGTGAAAACACCATTGTTGAACAAATACACCAAAAGCAAAAACATAGCAGAATAGGACCGACAAACCTTCCTTTTGCACACATCACAGGACACAACAGATGTTCGCAGCACTCATCTGGCTGTCAAAACCGTGTACTGGTGAGCATCAAAATAGGTATGGGTGTTCCGCCCCAAAATGGAGGCATAGGTTATGACCCAGGGCCATCTGTCACCATGGCGAGCGCTACCTCCGAGTAGCGCTCTCGCCTCGTCACGGTCCGCGCTCACCGCGGCCAGCCGGGCGTTCAACGCCTTCGACATGGGGAGCACCCAAATTGAAGGCGCCGAAGGCTCTCGAATTCGGCAAACCCCAAAGCGGTTTGGCGGTTGGGTGCACTCTTGACAACAAAACAAACAAACAAACAAACAAAGAAACAAACAAACAAAGAAACAAACAAACAAAGAAAAACAGAAACAAACAAACAAACAAAAGAAACAAACAAACAAACAAACAAAGAAACAAACAAACAAACAAACAAACAAACAAACATACAAAGAAACAAACAAACAAAGAAACAAACAGACAGACAAACAAACAAACAAACAGACAAACAAACAAACAAACAAAGAAACAAAGAAACAAACAAACAAAGAAACAAACAAACAAAGAAACAAAGAAACAAAGAAACAAACAAACAAACAAACAGACAGACAGACAGACAAACAAACAAACAAACAAACAAACAAACAAACAAACAAGGGCATTTGAGGATTGAACCATGTGCACCAAGAAACGCCCCTGTGCAAAGCTTCAGCTCCTCTTCGGGGGACCCTGAAATGTGAAGAGTCTACTTGACCGGGCAGGGTCCTTTGTCGGCGTTCCACCTTTTGCAAGGAAGCTAAGGTGGAACCGCTCGTTGCCGATGTCGCGATGTCGCGATTTGTGCGGTCGGTGACTTCACCCAAGACTGGGTGATCTCCCTCGTTTTCCTGTCACCCCCTGCCACGAGGCCAACATCTGGATTCGCTGTGCCGAGGCGAATTGGGGCACCACCCAATTCGAACACCTCTAATTTGATCAACCACGGAGTTCGATTTTTTGGATTGGGACCCTTGGACATGGGAGTTCTGTCCAACCATGTTTGAGAGGGCCCCTGAGAGAAAAAAAACACTAGCCATCCAACTGCGCATTCTCGCGGCAATAGTTGCCTTATGACCTTTGAAAAGGGACCCCGTACACCTTCGTCACGTGCGAGTTCCTTGTACCCCGAATCGGTGAGCCGGCTACAAGTTCTGCAAATTTGCTGTTGAGATCTCAGAAAGCACCGCGTCTCCTGTTGCTCACACTTCGAATAAGATGCGGAGGCTTCCTGTGCTTCTGTGACCTGAAAAACGGGCATCTCTGGAAAACCGCCAGTTTGGTCACACTCACACCATCACGGAAGGTTAAAAGATGCTTCACTCGCGGACAACCTGCTACTGCCCTGTTCTGGCTGCAAACTGGCCATTTGCTCCTTGGTTGGTGGACAAATTGCAACTCCTTACTCTGATCGGCATAACCAATGCTCTGCGTTCGCATAATGACGAGGTGAGATGGACAATGTTCAGTCCTGGCAGAAGCCCATACTCCTTAACAGGGTAATGTACAAATACAAAGCATCGAACATGAATGTTTTCTGACACTATGAACCAACAAAAAAGCTATTGCATGTTGCGTCCCTGTATATTATTAACAACATCATGTTTGTTTCTCCTTTCAAACACAAAAGAAACAACTTCAAGTTCCCCAGAAGCCGTCCCCCCACCCCGGCCGCCCCTCCAAAAAAAGGCGGCATCCATAACAGCAGGTCCCTAGAACCCTTCCAAACCCAACAAAACAAGCTTCTTGGCCTCCCGCCGTCATGTCGGCCTCCGCGCGTCTCAGGCGGTCCCTGGCCAAATTTGTCTCGTTTCCCAAGTCGAAAGGTCAAGGAGCCATCGCTTTCATCGGGGAAAAGGCCCTGATGGCAGGTTGCTGGACACGGATCCGACACCCTGCCAAAACATTACACAAAGTTTTGCAGGGGGGAATGATGGAAAACCGGAAATGCAACAAGCTGGAAAGGTAAGTTAAGTTGGGAACAGCTTTGTTTGTGGGAGGGGTATCAACCTGGCAAACCAAAGGGTCCAAAACCATCCTGCCCAAGGACGCCTCAGGTCCTCGGTCGTCCGCAGCTGACGCTCCATCTCTGCCTGCGAACGACTGCAACCCCTAGATCTTGTGGTTTGCATTTCGGAAGATCTGAACACCAGTGCCAGGAACTGTTCACCATGGCTCCGATTAAAAATCACCAAGGTTCCCTTTCGAATTCACCCCCGTGTTGTTGGTCAGCCGGCCGTCGTTTTGTGTGG